TATGGAAATTGACAGAGGCAATATTGACTCATCGTAGAACATAGAAATGCTTACAGACAGACAGAGTGATAACTTGAAGGTCACTGCGGACAAGTTGGCAGGGCCCTAAATATTCTATTCAAACTGAGCAACTGAAAGATCATGATTTTGTTTAGCGGTCTTAAAACATTCCATTAAAATTTCAATTAATTTCCAAAAGTGGTTCTTTATTTATAATCTGTATACCATAATATGTAAATTCTGAAAACCCGAATAATTCAGTCGTTATATTCCGCTGCTCTGTAATGGCTACATTAATGCCTGAAGGCCTAGTCAATAAAAAATCGTCTAACAATCATTCGGAATTAGCTTGGGATTTACCTATCTCGATAATATTAAGCTATTAGCTGATTGGCTCTCTCTCACAGAGAGCACCAATCAAAATCATGGATTCGTAATGCGTTTTTATCTTATAAAGAGTTCAGGTCCTTGCGAGTGGGAGAGTCGATCACAGGGAGGGACTGAATTATTCGGGTTAGCTTTCGCACTGAATCATTGCAAGGTTTTCATCAATTGCGAATATTGTGACTAGGAGGGTATAACAATAATAAAAACTCACATTCTGAAGTCTGACACATATATAGATATAAGAAGATGTGGTATGAGTGCCAATGAGACAACTCTCCATCCAAGTCAAAATTTAAAAAAGTAAACCATTATAGGTCAAAGTACGGTCTTCAACACGGAGCCTTGGCTCACACTGAACAGTAAGCTATAAAGGGCCCCGAAAATTACTAGTGTAAAACCATTCAAACGGGAAAACCAACAGTCTAGTCTATATAAAAAACGAGAAACGAGAAACACTTATGAACCACATCAACAAACGACAACTACTGAACATCAGATTCCTGACTTAGGCCAGGTGCAAACAAATGCAGCAGTTTAAACGATTTAATGGTACCAAACCTTCACCCTTTTTCTGAAACAATAGTGTAACATCACAACATAGAAAGACACACTATAAAATATCAACTGAAATAGCTTTACTCAATCAAAGGACATATTAACACCAGTGAACATACACTGAACAAATAAATTTGACCTATGATACAATGTAAATACAAAATGAATAAACTAAGGGAAGAATAATAAAAGTAACATGTTATATCGGTATAATTAACCTGTATTTGATGAAACCTTTCAGAATTTTGGGTCCTCAGAGCTCTTCACCTTAGTACTTTATTTGGCCTTTTTAACTTTTTTGGTTTGAGTGTCACTGATGAGTCTTTTGTAGATGAAATGTGTGTCTGGTATTACAAATTTCAATCTTGTATCTTTTAAGAGTTTTTATATTTGTATGTATCTTTTTCTCGCAATAATTATTTTTACAATTTTAGGTCTGTCATGCCGAAATTGCAATAATAAATGTATGTAATAATTTACAGTACATGTACCATAACTCTGGAATGGTAAAATTGAAATGTTTGAAAATGAACTTATCATTCGAAAACCACAAAATTTTGAATTTTTATAACAATCAAGACTCATAACTCTAGAATGGTAATGGTGAAAACGACGAATATTAAAATTAATCTGTTGTTAGTGGTCCAAAACATTCCATTAAAATTTAAATCAATTTAAAAAACAAAGCTCCATTTATTATCCAGAAACCAAAATTTGTTGAATTTTTCCAACAATCAAATACCATAATTCTGGAAAGGTTTTTAATAGTGAAAATAAAGAAAATGGAATTTAACCTGTCTTAAATAATTCAATACATTCCATTAAAATTTCAATTTATTTTAAAAAGCGGTTCTCTTTTTATCATTTAGAAACAAAAAGTGTGACAGACAGATGGACAAACATGAGGATTCCTATATTCCCCCAACTCTTTATATCAATCAGGGGTATAAAATATTTGAGTCTGAATGAGAAACATTATAAGTTCCCTTTTTTTTTTTTTTTAGGTCATATTCAATAATGAAAGGAGCTAGTGCATCAAAGGCTTTGCTGTCCATAATACTGAAAATGACTTCAGCAGTAAAAAATGATTCCACATTTCCAAAATCACTTTCCGGTATATATGAAATGGCAACCTTCAGTCTCAGGAACAGTTATACCACACAAAATGAACCTGAATTAAGGACAAGTTTTTCATTTGACAACCATGCTTTAAATCAAATAGAAAACACCAGTATGCAAATGGAGGTCACTTTAGGTCAAGCAGACAGTTTCGTCCAATGGAAAGAATCGAAATTAAAGACTTTTCCAATTGATATTCCTGCTGAAGAACAGACAAATTTTCTTAATGGCAATTTAAATCAAACAGACAACAATGATCATCACAACAACTCCAAAGATCAGTCAAATTTTCCTAATGGCAACTTCACCTTTAATCAAACAGGCAATACCAGTCATCAAGACCATTCCCAGGACCAGACAAACTTTTCAAAAAATAACCACACCTATCTGAATGATAGTGGCATATGGAATGTAGCTCAGACAGACATTTGCATCAGTTTCCTTACAGTTATGCCTATAATAGAGCTAAGAATATCAGTAGAACCAGTCACCTATGTAACATCTATTTTTAGCTACATTACATGTGGAATATCAGTATTTGGAATAGTGTGCAATGTTCTATTGTTGGTCATGCTTCTCAAACACAAGATAAAATCACTATCTATCTTATTACCCTGTTTGCTGATATTTAACATCCTTCTCTTTGTGTTTTTGATATTTTTTAGTAGTCTAAGTCTGTTTGGAATAAGGGTGCATTTTTTTCCACTGTTTGTTCAATGGTCAAGTGGTCTGCGTAATGGCACTATGGCTATGATAGGTATTGAGAGATCATTGATCATTTTAAAACCTCTCTGGTATAAAATATCGTGGAGAAAAAAGTACACATTAATAAGCATAGGTATTATTGTTTTGGTTAATACCATTCTGACACCTGCCACCAATTTGTTTCGTGCATGCGGTGTGAAGCTCCCCTTTCACTTCCCATTGGTAAATTTCACGTTACAACAGTTCATACCTTTTACAATTGTTATTATCACCAGTGTTGCCATGGCTGTTGGTCTAATCAAAAGGAATAAAATTTGTAAAGAACTCTTGGCCGGTGAAACCAGAAGAAACGTAAAAATGACAAAAACTGCATTTGTCTTAATAGTGACATATGCTATCAATCTAGTTCCCACGCTCTATGCTCTGTTCATGCCTTACTTTATGTGCATGGAAACTAGCATGCGAGGTTTTTTAATAATAATAATAATATTCTTAGAACTTTTAAACGCATGTTTTAACCCTATAATGTACATTCTTTCAAATAGATCCTCTTATGAACAATTTCTACAAGCATTAGGCAGTTGTTGTTCACAGCCAGGAATCAAAGTGAAAAATGACCTCTTACGAAATCTGACAGGGAAGGAGAAGTGGTGTGACTTTAGAGAGGCGTGCTTGCTTGCTCGCAGCGCTACTATAATAATTTATAATGGCTTACAATCCCTTAATGTTTACTTCAAATTATTGCACCTACCAACTTGTCTATTCAGCTGTTTAAATTATTTTACTTACCCTAAAAAATTGACTGTTAAGCTGTTCCAATTATCTTACTTACCCTAAAACTAAAGGCTCTAAAGAGCCTGTGTCGCTCACCTAGGTTAGTGTTCATCTTCAACAATGGACACTCTCCAACATGTGGATTAGAATAGAATAAATAAAAAAAAACTCTTTTTGTAAATCTTGTATTAATGATCATTCTTTCTGTGTACAGTAACTACAGTTTCTCACCATCTTCTTTAGTTTTGCCCAAAACAAAAAGAGGTAAAAAAAAAAATTGTCATCTAAGGGCAATCACTCTGATAACGTGTCTCCTAACTATTTTAGCAAAATTTGAGTTACTAGTAGATCTTGTCTTGCTGATCATCTTTGCTATTTAAAATGTCTATTGATTATAGTTTCAAGATAATAGACAAAACCACTAAAAATAGGTAAAAAATCATCATTAAGGAGTAATAACTCCACTAAGGAGTTGACTGACAATTTCCTCCATATTGACTCAAAAGTAGATCTTGTTTTGCTGATCAGTTTTGCTAATTTAAGTTTCTATCTATCTATTATAATTTTTAAAATAAAAGGCAAAAACTCAAAAAATTGGTATAAGTCGTCATTAAAGGGCAAAAACTTTAATGAGGAGTCATAAGACAACTTCTTCCATATGACTTAATTGTAGAGCTTGTCTTGCTGATCATTTTTGCTTGTTTAAATTTCTGCTTATCTATTTTAATTTTAAAGATACAAGGTAAAAACCAAAAAAAAATGGTAAAAATCATCATTAAAGGGCAAAAAATCAAATAAGAACTCGTCTGACGATTACAACAGCTCTTTCATAGTACCCGGTAGATCTTGTCTTTCTCTTTATATATTATAGTTACTAAGATATTAGACAAAAATGCAAACAAATTGGTGAAAAAAAAATCGTCCTTTAAGGGCAATAACTCCTATAAGAAATCATCTGACGGTTTTGATGTAAAAGACAATAGGAAGATCTCAATATTCTTAATATTTCTATCCCTATCAGATTTTCTCTTTCTATAGCGGTTTTAAAGATAATAGACAAAACTTGCATTTTACCCCAATGTTCTGTTTTTAGCCATGGCATCCATGTTGGTTGGCAAGCGGGGTCATCATACACATTTTATACACTAGATAACCCAATGATGATTGTGGCCAAGTTTGGTTAAATTTGGCCAGGTAGTTTCAAAATAAAAGTAAATTGACGACAAAGATGGACGATGCAGCATCCCAAGTGATGAGAAAAGCTCACTTGGCCCTTTGTGCCAGGTGAGGTAAAAATTGATAATTAAGCTGTTCCAATCATTTTACTTACTCTCAGTAGTTGTCTGTTAATCTGTTCAACTGTGGTTTCACTCCTACTTGTCTGTATATTCAGCTGTTCAAATTATCTTACTTACCCTAAGAAAAAAGGACTGTTAAGCCGTTCAAATCATTTTACTTACTCTTAGTAGCTGTCTGTTTAGCTGTTCAACTGTGGTTTCACTCCCACTTGGTAATTTCAGAATCTTTTTTGTACCATCCATGATATATATTGTTATCTGACTCTGTAATAAAAATTAAAAAAAATAATATGTTTGTCATAATTATAGAACAATTAAGTAGTTCTGAGATATAAATCAATTAGATCTACACCCATCCCACATTGAAAAAAAACCCCATCCCCATATAAAAACCAAAGTGATTGAAATCATTGGTGGAAAGATTCAGAGAGTAATATTAAGAACTTCAAATCAAATCATACCTTTATATATATAAGGTGTAGACAAAAAAGCCTTAAATATAGAAATGAATATAATTTTTTTCAAATTATACAAAATGAAAGCAAGTGACCATCATATTTTGCATGAGGTGCGGAAGTGATTCTTGCTAAAAATGCGATGGTCACTTGGTTTCATTTTCTTATAAATTTTCAAAAACACAGCATTCAATTCTTATATTTACAGATTTTTGAATTGAAAATAAATGTGGAGTGTGTCCATGGGACACAGATAATGCCCCACTTGCATATCATATAAAGTTATAAAGGGACATAACTGAAGAATGGTAAAAGTGACGCTACCCAAATTTGAACTTGATCTGAGTTATGTGGTAATTAGTATTGTGTATGAGTTTCATAAATTTGGTTGAGGCAAACTTAAGTTAGAGAACGGAAACGAAAAATTCAGCAATTTTTCCATTTGTAAAGGGGCATAACTCTAGAACAGTTAAAGTGACGCCACCAAAATTCAAACTTGACCTGTGTTTTGTGGTAATAAGCATTGTGTATAAGTTTCATAACATTTGGTTGAGGCAAACAAAAGTTAGAGAACAGAAACCAACTTTGGGGTGTACGGACATACAGACGGACAAGGGTAAAACTTAATGCCCCCTCAGCTACGGCGGGGGCATAAAAATATATGTTATTCCCATTTTGAATCTGAAAGTAATACTTTAAACACAAAACTTCAGCAGTCTAGTAAGATGGAGGCAGCATCATTCCACGTGAAATCAATTATAAGGACATCCATTTCAAAGTTGATAGCTCATAAAATATTTAGCAAATTTCAATCATTATTGTACATATACATGATATATATCATTATTTCAATATATAATCGCCAATGGCAGTCAGCAGGGTTTAAGAACATCTGTTGTTCTACCTGCTGGTCAAATGCGTTTTGTTAAAATATACTTTTTCACCTTTTAGGTCTTTTGGAAAATGTTGTTTGTGCTGTATTTAGACCCCTCTACCAAGAAATTTGTTTTGCATGCACACGTATAAAAATTGCGGTTTTTATCCAACGCAATCATAGGCTTGAACGTTGTTTTCAATTTAGACTTGTTTATATTATTTCAATATATATATTTATATTGTTAAAATATACTTTTTCACTTTTTTTGGTCTTTTGGAAAATGTTGTTTGTGCTGTATTTAGACCCCTCTACCAAGAAATTTGTTTTGCATGCACACGTATAGAAATTGCGGTTTTTATCCAACGCAATCATAGATTTGAATGTTGTATTCAATTTAGACTTGTTTATATATATATATATTGTCAACTATATTTTCCAAATGAATAAAATTTGAGATTTTTTAAAAAGAATATTCATTTGCACAAAGTACACGAACAATGCGAAAATAATAGTATTGATTAATTTGGGAGGCAGAGCTTATAATTCTTAAATTTTGGTTTGCATTCATAAGTATTGGTTGCTTTCATATGGCATAGGATACTTTCATACGGCATGGGTTGTTTTCATACGAAATGAAAGCATATGTCAGAATCAAATGATTTGTCTTTCTGACAATAACAGATCAGCATTTGTATGAATTGAACACCTAATGTAAATATATTGCACAGTTGCATTCACTGCATTTCTTTAGAAAGATAGTTATAGATTTCAACATGAATGATCATTCGGTTATCCCTTGATATGAGGGTCTGGATAAGGGTCCTTCAATTCTGTATTCTTAAATTTTTAAACCATTTTTCTCTATTGTTTATAAATTTAGCCCTTTCTACTCTATTCTTTATATTTTAGCACCCAATTATTTTCTATTCTTTATTTTTTTGGCCTATTTTTCTTTAATATTTATTTTTTTGGCCTATTTTTCTTTAATATTTATTTTTTTTGGCCTATTTTTTTTTTTTAATATTTATTTTTTTGGCCTATTTTTCTCTTTATTATTTTTGACCCATTATTCTGTAGTATTGGCCCATTATTTTCTATTCTGTAAACCCCATCCAGACCCTCTGATATCAACTAAAGTATAGTAATAAACAAGTCTTTTTGGCAAGGTAATTGTTATTATTGAAATCAAATAATGGTACAGTAAAATACTTTTGATATCTATATTTCATGCAAATTTGTAGGTATAAATGTATCTTTAAAATGCAAAAATTATTTATATTATTATCATGAAACATCTACAGCTTTGTTTTCCCCGTACCCCCATACAAATACTTCCTTAATACTGGTCTTCTTAAAGGAAATCATAAAAATTTTCCACTGCCTATGAAAAGTGTAAATCATGAGGGTTTGGTCATTCATTTCTTTATTCTTTAATTTTAGATAATTTTTCTCAAATTTTTATATTTTTTACACATTTTTCTCTATTCTTTATATTTTTAACACATTTTTCTCTATTCTTTATATTTTAACACCCCATTATTCTTTATTCTTTATTTTTTTGCTTATTTTTTCTGCAGTATTAGCCTATTATTCTCTATTCTGTAAACCCCATCCAGACCCTCTTTCATAGAAATGTTGTCTCATATAATCATATATTTTTTGGTTCTCAATGACTTGTTGTCATGACAACTTACCAGTTTATTAATGGCGGTCTTTAACATTACAGATATATTTTTATGTTCGTTGTAACTGTAAGGATCACACCTATCAAAGGCTGTCTGACCACTACTGTCTAAAGCATTCTGAAAAGAAATATTTTATTTTAAAACTAGAGGCTCTCAAGAGCCTGTGTCGCTCACCTGTATTTACTGATGCTTTGGAAATCATGTAAAATAAGGTTAAAATCATAATTAATAGTATTAGATATTAGATATTATAATGATATCTAACATTCTAAGATAATAACAAATAAAATGCTCCGCAGGGCGCAGCTTGATACGACCGCAGAGGTCGAACCCTGAACAGTTGGGGGAAGTATGGACACAACATTCAAGCTTGATACAGCTTTGGATTTGGATTGTGATTAAATATTTGACACAGCATAGGTTTCTAACACAGATTGAATGTGGTCTAAGAACTTAAAAATTTTAAATTGGACATTCACCTATTATGGTCCAATATCCAAAATCTAAATACATGGTTAGATTCAGCATATCAAAGAACCCCAAGAATTCAATTTTTGATGAAATCAAACAAAGTTTAATTTTGGACCCTTTTGACCTCAATGTGGACAAAGTTGATAACGGGGCCCAAAAATCAAAAATCTAAATACATGGTTAGATTCAGCATATCAAAGAACCCCATATATTCAATTTTTGTTGAAATCAAACAAAGTTTAATTTTGGACCCCGATTTGGACCAACTTGAAAACTGGGCCCATAATCAAAAATCTAAATACATGTTTAGATTCAGCATATCAAAGAACCCTAAGAATTCAATTTTTGTTAAAATCAAACTAAGTTTAATTTTGGACCCTTTGGACCTCAATGTGGACCAATTTAAAAATGGGGCCCAAAATCCAAAAACTAAATACACGGTTAGATTCAGCATATTAAAGAACCCCATGAAATCAAGAATAAAACCCCATTGAAATTGGTCAAGAAATAAGCAATTTATAGGAAGTATCTTCTTTTGCACAATCCTGTGCTATTAAATATTTCTTGCTATTGCGCAATACTGTACAATTGACAATTTCTTGCTATTGCGCAATATTGTGCTATTGGATATTTCTTGCTATTGCGCAATATTGTGCTATTGGATATTTCTTGCTATTGCGCAATACTGTGCAATTGAAGATTTCTTGCTATTGTGCAATACTGTGCAATTGAAAATTTCTTGCTATTGCACAATACTTATTATATAATAATTTACACATCCTGTTTGGTGTGTATCTCCTACCATATCATTATTATTTGATTTTAAATATAAATCAGAAATAACCAACTTAAAATGGAAAATTTTAAAAGAAACAAAAAAGGAAAAAAAGAAAAAAAAGGAAAAAAAAATAAATCCCCCCCCCAAAATTTTTTGAACCCCCATTATGATTCATCACCCCCAAACTCAATCCCAGCCTTCCCTTTGTGGTATGGTACCTTGCAGTACAATTTCAGAGAGATCCATACACTTGAACACAAGTTATTGTCTTGAAACTAGAAAAAAATGTGTTTTTTGGCCCCTTTTTGGCCCCAAATTCCTAAACGTTTAGGGCAATTACCCCCAAACTCAAACCCAGCTTTCCCTTTGTGATATGGAACCTTGTAGTACAATTTCAGAAAGATCCATACACTTACACACAAGTTATTGTCATGAAACTAGAAAAATGCTTGTTTTTTGCCCCTTTTTTGGCCCCTAATTCCTAAAATTTGGAGGCAATTACCCCCAAAATCAATCCCAGCATTCCATTAGTGATATGGAACCTTGTGGTACAATGTCAGAGAGATCCATACACTAACACACAAGTTATGTCTGGAAGTTACAAAAATGCTTATTTTTGGCCCCTTTTTGGCCCCTAATTCCTTTACTGTTATTACCATAACCCCCAAAATCAATCCCAACCTTCCTTTTGTGGTATTGAACCTTGTGATAAAATTTCATAAAGATCCATTCACTTAAACTAAAGTTAGAGTGCGAAAACCAATGTGTCTTCGGACGACGACGACGACGACGACGCCGCCAACGTCATACCAATATACGACCACAAAAATTTTTTTGCGGTCGTATAAAAACTGCAAAATATTTGTAAAATTACTAGCTCAGGGGCAGCAATCCTAACAACGGGTTGTCGGATTCGTTTGAAAATTTCAGGGCAGATAAATCTAAATCTGATGAACAATTTTGCCACCTGTCAGATTTGCTCTAAATGCTTTAGTTTCAGAGATATAAACCAAAAACTGCATTTTACCCCTATGTTCTATTTTTAACCAAGTCGGCCATGATGGTTGGAAGGCGGGGTCATCGGACAAATTTTTTAAACTAGATACCCTAATAATGATTATGGCCAAGTATGGTTAAATTTGTCTCAGTAGTTTCAGAGAAGAAGATTTTTGTAAAAGATTACAAAAATTTACGAAAAATTGTTAAAAATTGACTATTAAGGGCAATAACTCCTAAAGGGGTCGACTGACAATTTTGGTCATGACAACTTATTTGTAGATCTTACTTTGCTGAACATTATTGCTCTTTACAGTTTATCTCTATCTATAATAATATTCAAGATAATAACCAAAAACTGCAAAATTTCCTTAAAATTACCAATTCAGGGGCAGCAACCCAACAAGTTGTCAGATTTGTCTGAAAATTTCAGGGCAGATAGATCTTGACCTGATAATCAGTTTTAAATTGTCAGATTTACTCTAAATGCTTTGGTTTCAGAGATATAAGCCAAAATCTACATTTTACCAAATATGTTCTATTTTTAGCCATGGCCGCCATCTTGGTTGGTTGGCGGGGTCATCGGACACATTTTTTAAACTAGATACCCTAATGATGATTGTGGCCAAGTTTGGTTAAATTTGGCCCAGTGGTTTCAGAGGAGAAGATTTTTGTAAAAAGCTAATGACGACGGACGACGACGGACGCCAAGTGATGAGAAAAGCTAACTTGGCCCTTCGGGCCAGGTGAGCTAAAAATCAAGTCATATATATGATGTCTTTTTGTACTTTAGATAGACTATTTTTATATAACCAACTATTGACTTCAGAGTATATAATTTTTTGACAGGATACCTTCACTGTGAATCATAATTAAAAAGTAAAATAACAAAAATACTGTACTCCAAGGAAAATTCAAATTGGAAATTCCCTTATAAAATGGCAAAATCAAAAGCTCAAACGAATGGAAAACAACTGTCATATTCCTGACTTGGTACAGGCATTTCCTTATGTAGAAAATGGCGGATTAAACCTGGTTTATATGATCACATATCTATTTGTTTTAAAATTTAGTTAATACTTGTAGTAGAAGAATGCCAAGGTAAAGGCAAAGAAATAAATTAATTTATTGAATCAACTACAAATGCGCCCAATGTGTCCATGTAAAAAAAAACCGAACAACAATTTGTTGCAACACATCAACCACTTGTACCTTTCAAGTTATCTATCTATATGATATGGAAGGCAGGTTAGCATCACTGGAACTACCTACCAATGACCTTCTACTATTGTCATAGTAACTTAGAAACATTAGTATCTGGGTAACTGTGCAACACTTTAACAACCTGTAGATGACCTTTTTCTGCTGTCATCGGAACTTACCATATTATTTTCTGGATAACTAATAAGCGACACTTCAACAACCTATATATGTCCTTTTTTCTGTTGCCACAGTAACTTACCACATTAGTATCTGGGTAACTTAGCAACACTTCAACAACCTGTACATGACCTTTCTCTACTGCTAAGTGCAGTGGTGTGGAATGTTGATGAGTCTCTAAGTTTGGTGAACATCCATACTCTAGTAAAAATTTAACAACATCTCCAAAACCACACCTAAAAATGAGAAAGTCGTTAAATTCAAATTTACTGAAGTTTGGATATTTTATTTTTTAGCATTTATAATTGTTTCTATCTTAACTTTCTCCTCATTTATATCCTTCAGTAGATCATGAAACAAAACTATAATTAAATTAATGCAGTGATCTCCCCAAGGGGCCTTATCATGCTTTTAGCACCATGGGAACAATGGTGCTATCTGAATAATTTTTTTTACAGAATTTATTATTAATGTGATGCTATAATTTTTGGATATTTTGAATTCTGTGGTGCTATTTGAAAATGCTTGAAAAAAACACTGTTTTTGTAAATTAAATGGACTATTTACTGAGTAAATGGTAGGAATTTCTAAGGTCAAACATTTTTCAATGTTTTAGTTTTGCTTTGTATCTTAGCTTGTACCTGAACATAATCTTGAAAGATCAAATTTTTGAGAGGGGACACTTCCAAGATCTTATCATAATAAGGAAACTAGCAAAAAGAAACCCTTGGCAAAAAGGAGGAGCTATAAGAAGAGCCATTTTTTGGCCCCTGAAATAACAAAGCTATCTTACCACTATTTCTAGTCCCTACAGTAATCATAAACTTATTTGTGCTAGAAAATTATATAATGGTTAAGTTTGGGTAACAATAAGAGATACAGTTGTGGGAAGGTTAGGAATTAGGGTAAGTAAAATTATGACCCTTTCAGATCTTGGATCCCTCAAGTAAATATATATAGGATTAATTGTTGTGTAGAGTTAAGTGCTGGTAACATTATTACCCTTCAAGACCTTAGGCCTTTAAGGTGTTACATAACAATACAGGAAGATAACTCTGTAAAAATCATCTGAACGTTTTAATCATGTTCTATTGTTAAGGAAATATTAAGCTTCCCAATGATCAAAATTAGTGTTTGTCAAACTGCTATATATCCAACGAATTTTTTCCGATATAGTGTGTGGTTCAAGTTTTTTGAAATTTTTATATTTTTGTCAAAGGGTCAAAGTAAATATTTTGTCAAAATTTTATGAAAATTAAACGAGCCAAATTAATTTTAGTCAATGTGTTTGGTACCACCTTAAAGTGAACTTCATATATACTTACTCCGCTGCCCAGTGAATTGGAGCAAATCCACGATCATCTTTATCTGTAAAGTCCCAATGGTGGATGTACTCTTTTAATCCATTCAGGTTGCCCTCTTTAGCATATTTGTGCAGTAGATATCCAGACATTGATCGTGAAGGGGAAGGATACATTCTGAAAAGGATTTGTTTTTAATCAAAATATATTCTTCCTCCTTTAAAGTGAGGTCACACGAAATTTTATATGCAGCAAGCATTCATTGAAAAATGAAATTAAGTCACTTTTGATAGAATTGTGTTTAGTAAACCCTAAAAACATGTATGATTTAGTCTATGCTTCCAAAAGTTAAAACCAGAAACCTTAAATTTAGCTATTTCCCTATTTATCACGATCTTAGGGGCATAATTCTTGAATAACAAAAGTGAATTCAGTAAACACATGGTAACACTCAATCTAAATCTGTGTTCAGTGGTCCCTGACAACATTTAAAATTTCTAATGATTAAATAAAGGACTCCTCAAGTTTTGGTCTTGAAACTCTAAGATTAATGTCTGGTTCACTTGATCTCAATTCTTCATTGGTCAAAATTCAGTTATGATGTCAAATTTTCTTGCTTTCCTGTGAATTTCTTTTAGTGATGTCACGAAAAAAGGCTACCTGTGATGACGTCACAGATAAAGATCACATCTACGAATATCATTGAATAGGAAAGATAAAGTTGCCTACATGTCGTCTGTAAATCATAAGAGAAAAAGATTCCACCACCAAATCTCGTGCAATATGATTCTTCTCCATTCTCAACAGATAATTTAATTCCAAATTATTTAATAAAACTCAGCAAGCCTTGCTTTTTAAGTATGAAAATTTAACTGTCTCGAGTGAAGAAATATATATTGTATCCCACTCGATGCAGTGGTAGAATCTATATAAACTAAGTGCTTCCATAGCCTCTCAATGAGGGCATAAAAAGTTGATTTTATCATATTCAACGCACTACCTTTTTTTTAAATTAAATTTCAATTAGTAAGAAAAAAAGCTTCCCCTTCATACTTACACATCACTAGAATTAGTACTGGAGCTTGTTCTCCTTGAAGACACACTCTGATCCTCTTGTGAACCCCAATATAGATTTTTCATTTTATCAACCTGTAAAATAGAGATATACTTATAATGATTCCATTGTTAATGGCAGGCAATTAATCCACCTCACTGTTGCTAGGCCAAAACAAAATAAATTTGTGTTTAATTTCACCAGCTGATTTATCTTTTTTATTTTATAGGCATACCCTGAAATAGCTATATCCAGTTCCAGAATCTGGTGTGTTCGTATAAAATATTTTCAGAAATATATTCTTTGTCTCTGAATATCAAAGATTATTTTACATCTGTTTCACATGAGTTCTTAAAAAAAATAACTACAGTGTATTACAAACACATCATTATTTAAAGAGTTAGCTCCCTTAATCAAGGTCCATTACCTTAGAAGTGTTAAATCACAGAGTTTTTTTACCCTCAGAATTTTAAAACTATGACCATCAGTTTCCAGCTTTTGATTATGTCAGCAATAAAGTTATGGCACATCACACAAAATTATAAGTATGAAAAGTTTCATGAAAATTGGTGAAAGTGTTTTTGAGTTATTGTCCGAAGTGTTGACTATAGACGGACGGTATACATGTACCATAATACATCCCGTCTTAGATAACAGTATGAAAACAGGGCAATGAATTTTAATCCATTTAAAATTGAATAATTAGCAGAAATCATCTACCCTATAACTCTCTTTTTTCAATACTGATTTTTCTCTTTCTCTGATAGTCTACACTTCTAAGCAATTTTGAGGAAGGTTTAATAAAAAAAATTAAATGAACCAATTTTGGTACTTTTTCCCATCAATTTCCAATAAATTCACATTCTGCATACTTTTTAAAATCTTACCTTTGTTTTATATGGCAGACCAGAGTTAAATAATGGATTGATCACAACTATTTCACATTTCTCAATGGCCAACATTTTAGCAAGGGCTTCATGTGCTGTGTTTCGTAGTTCTTCAAGGTTGTCTGAGAGTGGAAGTCTTGTTGGTAGGAATGCTGGGTTGCTGACACTGAATTTTATACGGTAGTCAGCTCTGCTATGGAATAATATATCCAGAGTCTCTGGCCTTGCATGCTTTTCTTTCAACCAACTGAATTAAAAAAATATATATAAATAATATTACAACACATTAAAAAATTTTCCCAGAAAAGGTTGAAGAAAAATCCTTTTTGTTCTAATTTTGCAATAATGTTTTCCTTATATAGGGAAAAGCAAAATGGGAGATTATTCAAAATTTGAAAAGAAAATTTAAATTATACAAGTAAATAATACTTACATTTTCAAGCAGTTTAAAATAATAGAGTGATGGTTTAACGTCCATTGGCAAATATTTCATGCATGTTCATGACGATAAAATGATAGAGAATAACCTCTGACTGACTGTAAAGTATACACATTACAAACCTCTCTAAGTGTGATATGAATTTTCTGGTTGGTGGAGGGAAACTGATACTTCTATTGTTGATAGAGTCTATCACATTTTCTAGGGAATAGAAACCTGGTTTATCTGGTGACTTGTCCACAAAAACAGCATTCAATTTATCTATAATATAGACAGAGAAAAAATTGACCTTGACTGCATTCTATTAGAATCAAATCAAAGAATCAAAACAATTTTAATCAAAGAGAAGATATTACTAAGTTGAAAAACTTCCATTTGTCCTTTTGAATACAATACATTTAAACAATTTGAAACATTTACTACAAATTTTCCTGTGTAAACTGAAGAAACATCACATATATAGAAATAAGAAGATGTGGTATGAGTGCCAATGAGACAACTCTCCATCCAAGTCACAATGTGTAAAAATTTAACAATTATAGGTCAAAGTACGGCCTTCAACACGGAGCCTTGGCTCATACTGAACACCAAGTTATAAAGGGTCCCAAAATGACCAGTGTAAAACAACGGTCTAATCTATATAAAAAACGAGAAACACTTAAGAACCACATCAACAAACGACAACCACTGAAATATGTATGTTTTTCTTATAAATTAAAAAGTTCAAATAGAAAAAAAAATTTTGTTTAACATTTTTAATCCTAACATTTATACCATGCTTACAGGAATCTGTGAAAATACAACCTTACTGCAAACTGTGAAAGTACACTTTTAACTTTTCTAGCTCATTAACAAGCATTTACCTCTATAGTTAACAGGAACACAATACACATAAAAACTTGACAAGGAATCTCTTTCTGCTTGCCTCTTCCATGGAATCAGCAACCCCCTCTCACCTACAATGTAACTTTTATTAAATACCAAGAAAAAATCATTATAGGGTCATAAAATATAAAAAATTGAAAATACACAGGTTAAAGCTTACTATATAAAACAGTATGGGTTTTGCTCATTTTGCAGGCAATACATTATACAGTGACCAGTAGTTGTTTGCATCTACATCATCTGGACTTTTGACAATATTTTTCTGTTTTGGTTCTATAAGCTCTTTATTTTTTGAATAAGTTTTTGATTTCCAAATATTTTGGCCTCGAGCATCACTGGAGAGACATTTATTTTCGAAATAGGCATCTGGTGCAATAAAATTGTTACTGTTAATTAATGTTATTGTTTTACTGTAAATCATGCCACATATTTGATTTTGCTGCGAGGTGGGTTTACTCCACGTGACTTTGAGATGACGAACAGCAATAAAAACCATATTTCTTTTCTTTTAATTTATTCAAATGCATTTAGTGATTTAGTGTCATGAATTGACACACCATATCATTTCTTTCCCATTTCCATTTCAAAAGTTCTTACAATAACAAATCACTTTAAATACATATACAAACCTTTGATTCCACCATGCTTATCTCCTCCTGTCAACTGGTACAAATTTGTTAAAACTTCATCCCTAGGCTCCTCCTCTGAATTGGTTAATGGAAATGCTGGGAGATATTTTGTTGGACGCGGTTCATGATTTTTTGTACTATCAAACAACAGAATATCATACAGTTTTGGTTTATACTCAAGAATGCCTCCTTTAAGCTTAAAATCATGACTCCCGACATTGTGTCGGGGACGCAAGACTGCAAGTATTACTTCCATGAAATATGAAGTGACTCTGATTGGTCACAGTTTTTATAACTTCCATGTATTTTTAATATTCACAACTATTCATTATAGTGAATCCTTCTTCACTACCACTTTAAGACATTAAATTTTCACATTTTTTGGTTTTCAAGAATAAGTAATTATTAAAAACAAAATTAATATAAATCTGGCATTGATGTCAATTTTAAGAAAAATTTTGAAATCTATTTATGCTGCAACCACGGTAACAAAGACTGGTCATAACATAAGAATCTTGGTGTTGATTACTGTTATTCCAAATCCTGACTTTTAAAAATTATTGTTATTCCAATCTTGCGTTTTCTGCTAATAAGCATTTAAGCCTACAAAATAAAAATTCAAATTAAATTAATTACAGTTCGCTCACAAAGAGAATTAAAGAATACAACTAGAGGCTCTCAAGAGCCTGTGTCGATCACCTGATTCTACTTTGGTTTTGGAAATCATGTTAAAATAGATTAAAATCATAACAGATACCCTAATAATGAGTGAGGCCAAATTTGGTTTAATATTGGCCCTGTAATTTAATAAAAAATCCTGGTGGCAATCTTGAACAGTAAATCAGCAACAAAGTAGCAACACTTCATCAGCACCTCATAAGAAACATTTATGCCATGTTTGGTTTCATTCCATTCAGTGCACCTCTAGAAGAAGCATTTGTATGTACATGTAATTCCAATAGGGTCTTATGTTAAAGGAAGTCCCCCGCTGGCGGCCATCGTGGATGATGGATCAGCTTCAAAGTAACAACACTTAGTCAGCACCTCAACAAGGAACATTCATGCCATGTTTGGTTTCAATCCATTCAGTGGTTCTCTAAAAGAAGACATTTGTATGTATTGTCCATAGGGTCCTTTGTTAAACACTGTCCCCAGCTGGTGGCCATCTTGGATGATGGATCGGCTTCAAAGTAACAACACTTGGTCAGCACTTCATAAGGAACATTCATGCCATGTTTGGTTTCATTCCATTCAGTGGTTCTCTAGAAGAAGACATTCGTATGTATTTCCCATAGGGTCCTATGTTAAACTAAGTCCCTTTCTGGAGGCCATCTTGGATTATGGATCGGCTTCAAAGTAACAACACTTGGTCAGCACCTCATAAGGAACATTCATGCCATGTTTGGTTTCATTCCATTCAGTGGTTCTCTAAAAGAAGACATGTGTATGTATTTCCCATAGGGTCCTATGTTAAACTAAGTCCCCCGCTGGCGGCCATCTTAGATGATGGATCTGCTTCAAAGTAACAACACTTGGTCAGCACCTCATAAGGAACATTCATGCCATGTTTGGTGTCATTCCATTCAGTGGTTCTCTAGAAGAAGTTCAAAATGTAAAAAGTTAATGACGACGATGACGGATGACGGACGCCAAGTGATGAGAGAAGCTCACTTGGCCCTTCGGGCCAGGTGAGCTAAAGAAAGGGTTAAATAATCGGAATGTTAATGAAATGAATTGAACTGAATGGTCAAAACCTCAATTTACCTCATTAGTTTGGTCATTGAGACTGTTTATTGTAATTTACAGAGATGAAACTTAATTTCTTAATTGATTCATTCTGCTAAAAAAGATTTCAATGCATAGAATTTTGTTGTAAATTTGTACAACAAACACTTTAGTCTTAGATACATGATTTTTTCATTAGTTGTTATTGGTTTTGAACTAGCTGTCAGTAACTGCGAGTACTCTCAGATCTGTACTTAGTCTCTTTTTTGTTGTAGGGATGTATAAATATCCTGCCACATCTGATCTGTGTTGCTACTTGTTTTTCTGCTTTGTATTGATCTAATGAGTTCAATCCTTTTCAACTGAATTTTATAGTTTCATATTTTGTGCTGTTAAACCAGTCTTAGGTTAGGGGGAGGGTTGGGCAAACATGTTTAACCCAGTCACATTTTGTATGTGCCTGTCCCAAGTCAAAGCCTGTAATTCAGTGGTTGTCATTTGTTGCTGTATATCATACATTGTATGTGTTTTTACTTTGTTTTGTACATAAATCAGGTCGTTAGCCTTCTCGTTTGAAATGTTTTACATTTTTCATTTCAGGGCCTTTTATAGCTGACTAAGCGGTATGGTTTTGCTTATTGTTGAAGGCTGTATGCTAACCTATGGTTGTTAACTTCTATGTCATTTGGTATCTGGTGGAGAGTTGTCTCATTGGCAATCATACCATTGATTATTACAGAAAAAAAAGATTGTTTAAGCTGCTTAGTTTGGTATCAAGTGACGACAAAAACAACTTCAAGTGCAGATAATAGCCTGATGGTCACTTTTAAATGCGAATCCATATCATTTGCCCAAATTCCTGTTCACACCAGGTTATCACGTCCCAGTTTTTATAAATTAATGATATTCAATTAAGTTTTAAATGTTAATTTGGCTAGGAATTATGCATAAAAAAGAAAATTGAACAACATGTGATGAATGCAATTAGTGACCAACAGGTATGTGTGTTTTTGTGGCATGCACTACATTGTAAGTGTCATACATGTATATATAAATCTTTCTTATTCTTTGACAAGAGATAAATAATATTGATTCTACTGCATCGTAACTCAACAAATGGTCTTAAAACTTTTAAACAACTGGGTAAGCAAAAAAGTGCATCAACAAGTGACTTATTAATTTGATTTAATTAATGAATCATCTCTTTTGTTCTTTTATCATGACATCAAATACATGTACTGTATGTGGATTCATTAATATTCGTTGGATACCAATTTTTGTGGATTTCGTGGATACAGGAGAACCACGAATTTAAATGTTCAACGAATAACAATTTTTCTAAAGTAATGTATGAAGACTTTGCCAAAACCACGAATTAAATATCCATGAAACATTAAAATGCAAGTTTTCCTCAATAGATATCCACGAAAATTTTGATTAAATATGTTTATTCAAACACAATCAAATTTTGTATTGCATTCTTTATACACGTAAGGATTTTAATATTACCATCAAACTTCTTGTTTTACAGTATTTTAACTATTATTTTTTAATGATAACAGGAAAATATAAAAAGAAAAAACAAGGTGCTGATTCGTTTCGGTCCAAAATGCCCTGATGCCAAAATGTCAGAAAAGGTGCCATCTAGTCTTTGCCTTTGGAACAATTGAGAAATGTCTTGGTGCCGAAGTGACTTGTTACCACTATATGGACTATGGAGAGGGTGGAGAAAAGCAGGGCCACAGTAGCCATTGGCCCCTTAAATTTGATGAGTTGAGATATAACACTGGGCAACAATAATTATTTGTTGGGCCATACTGGGATTACTATTACATGTATTACTGCTTCAATTTATTCCAACCTGTACGGTACTATAAGGACCTGTGTAAGAACCCTGTAATAGGAAAGGTAACAAAGTTTTTTCATGCAAAATGTCCATATTGGCATAAGGAAATTTTTGTGTTGTTGGGTTACTGTCTCGTTGACATGTATAGATGCCCACATCATTTTTCTTAACAAATATGTGTATTTTCACGCATCATGAATTAGTTGATATCATGTCATAGGTTTCATCAGTTCATAAATATACCTGTTTCCGTATTAAATACTTATTTTTGAACGAGATCCTATCAAGAAATGACAAATCTAAGTTAGATAGAAATGTAAAACAACAAATTTTCTAAACAGGAAGTGAGTCTAACTGTAGGGATCTTCTCCAAACATTAGACAGACAATCTATACATTATTGTATTATTTTAAAAATCAGAGATCAAGCTATGGAAAAAGCAATACTTATAATTGATTAATATGTTTGAATAATTATGGATGTTATTTTTTTCTTTGTTCATTTTGTTATTTGTGTAAACAATAATATGAAATGATAGGTCCTTGCATAACTTCCGGTAAAAACAAAAACACATGATTTTCGAAGCTGTCAGAAAAAAACATCAAATGAAAATCAACGAATTGTCATTCACTACAAATTTTATTTGAAAAAATCAAATTTTAGCCAATGAAACATAGAGTTCTGAAAAGAATCAACCAAGCTTCACAAAATCAAGTGCTCATCATCATGATCAGGTGATGTAATTAGCAATTCAATTTTCAATTTAAACTTCCTTTTAATTTAAATCATATGATATTAATCAAGCGATCTGTAAGTAAAAAAAAATAAATTTCAAACTTTTGCTTTGTAAGTTTTTCAAATACAATAGCACAATTTAGATTGATGGTAGTCTGACAGAAAATGCTCTGAATAATTTGTTGAACAGTCTGTTTTGGACAACTGGATGGGCAATGCACCAATCTGGCATGGTGAGGTTTTTTTTTTATTAATGAGTTACACTGGTTGACCAGTGGTCAATCTGTTTTAACGACATCACCGAATAATCGGTTCTTACTTTTACACAATAACCATGATAACATAATATGAAAATAAGAAGATGTGGTATGATTGCCAATGAGACAACTACAAAAATGTATCCACCAAAGTTCAAATGAAGCGGATGTACATGTAAGCAATTATAGTCACCTGTACAGCCTTCAACAATGAGAAAAAAACCCATACCGTACAGTCAGCTATAAAAGGCCCTGACATGAAAAATAAGAAATTCAAATTAGAAAACTTTTAAAAATACTTATAGCCTAATTTATAACAAAACAATCTACAAAAAGTCAAAAAACAAATATGACAGACATGAACCAAGGACAACCAATGAACTACAGGCTCCTGACTTGGGACAGGCAAATAAGCATTGTGCCATAGGAAATTTACAGGAAAGTGCACGAATACGAAAGTTGTCTTTGGGATGGCCATATATATAATGGCACCTCCAGACTTGTGGTGGCAATTTGTAGTACAACAATTATTAATCCGGTAAATTTAATGAAGTAATAATTGAAGAAATTTTATTATGAATATAGAATGACTCTATCATGTTTACTATAAAACTAAAGATATACACTTCATTTTTTCAATATTTTTTACAACTTTAGTTTTGATGGGAGGAGATGATGTTATTTTCATTCGTATCTTTCAGGTAAACCATTGACCTTGAAACTTGGTTTGGAGTCATGGAAAAACAAATTAACATAACAAATAAATTACTACTGGTATTGTAAATAATAGAGACATTTTAGGGAAAAGTCTGTTTCAAACATAGATAATCTATGTCTACTTTAGGAAATATAATTCCAGAAAAAAGTTTGGTAGACAGAAAAAGATCAAATTTTACAAAATCGCTAGATCTTGGTGGTGTACAGTCTATTGACTGTGGAGGTCCACAAGATCATGAAGATATCGATGATTTTAGTAGATCTGTCCATGTTCTAAGACATCATGATGGTAAATTCCAAATTCACAGCAATCAGAAACCTTCTGTTGATAAAAACACTCACAGTAAATCTGTTAAGACTTCACTTAGACAGTATTTTCAGTGGTTAAAGGGAGTGAAATCATCAAACGATAAAAAGAAACTAAAAACAAAACAAGAACATGCAAATTGTGATAAAACTAATGCTAGTTGTCCTTTAGTGATTGGCGGAAATTTGGAAACTGGAGGCCAGTGTACATGCTCAAAGTTTCACTACCACACATTTCAAAACCGGACTTTTTTCTTGCCAGTAGAAATATCAGAAAAAGCTGAAAAACATTTTGCATCCAGAGTGGAATTCTTTGAAGCAAACCAAAGATATTTAAATGTCTGCAATACGTTTTGGCGTCCAGCGTTATCATTAAACCAACAGCGATTCTCAAATCGTAAAATTGGTATTGGAAATCTTGTGGAATTTGAATCTCTATGGCCAGAAGAGTCCAGTTTGAAATCTTTGTTAAAGGATGGATTACAGAATACAGCATTATGTGACGCCATATCTGAGCTAGCTTTGCTGGCTGTTGTTTGTGGTCCTGTCGAATTACTAAAATCTCTTATTAGTTTGTCTCTTGTTAGTAAGTATTTATTCAATGTATAAGAGATTCAGTGAAAAATTGCTCTAACTGCCAGTAAGTGGTAAATTTTCAGTGAGTGCTGGTGAATATGGGCAATTACCACTAAAATATCTCTCTGTTTATAGAGCTTTATTAAGTTGTAAAAATTTGGAAGTGCTCACACTGCTCAGTTCTATTGGTTTTTTTATTATTTAAGAAATCGAATCTTCGCTAAAGGTACATGTATTGGAAATTATAAAATCTTATATCAATAAATATTTTGAAATTGAAAAGAATATATATAGTGTTTTGTGTTTTTGGGAAAAGATAGCTATTTAGCTATTTATTTCTACTTTCCAAGACACTCATGTCAACCATTTTGTGCTTTAACATTAAGGAAAACTCATATTCTTCAGATTGATTTCATTTCAAAGAGTAAAACAAACAAAAGATCGGATGTTAACAACTATCCTTTAAGTTTCTTTTAACCTTTCTTATTTTTGTCACAATCTAGCTTGCATATTGATTTTGTGTTTTTACAAATAATGCAGTTCTACATTGTACATACTAAAATATGGAATTTTATTTTTGTTTAACACTTTGATAATTAGTTATTTCACAATTCCTACTCTAGTGGCTGATTGGCTTAAACCTCTCAATTTTTAATTTTTGCATTTAAGGACTGGATTGTCATTTGGAAGATGGACAAGGTTTACTACACTATGCCTGTTTAATGAGGAGACCACAGTTGATTAGTTATCTTACAAAATCTGGAGTAATGCCTGAACTCCCTGATAGGAGAGGTGACTATTACATTTGAACTTTGAACTACATAATTTTATTTTTGTCTTGCCCTGACAGAGTCAAAAAGCAGGACATAGGTATGCAGTTTCCGGCGGCGGCAGCGTCAACAATGTATTAGTTTGTGATTAGGTCTAGTTCATGGTGAACCACTAGTGGTAGGTCAGTGATATTTGGTATGCAGTTGTATTAGCATTGGCACATCTCATTACCATGGAGATTATTTGACCCAGCCCCCTCAGTCAAGGTCTATTGACTTTGAAACTTTTCATAGTTTACATGTATTAGTTTGTGATTAGGTCAATTTATGGGGATCGAACCACTAGTGGTAGGTCAATGATATTTGGTATGCAGTTGTATAAGCCTTGGCATATCTCATTTCCATGGAGATAATTTGGCTCCGCCCCCTTAGTCGTAGTCTATAGACTTTGAAAATTTGGCTAAGTTGACATGTATTAGTTTGTGATTAGGTCAGTTCAAGGGGAACCATTAGTGGTAGGCCAATGTTGATTGATGTTCAGTTGTATAAGCATTAGCACATCTCATTCCCAAGGAGAATATTTGACCCTGCCCCCTCAGTCATGGTCTATTTACTTTGAAACTTTTGGTTAGTTTACATGTATTAGTTAGTGATTAGGTCAGTTTAAGATGAACTGCTAATGTTAAGTCAATGATATTTGGTATGCAAATTTATTGGCATTTGCAAGTATCGTTTTTATGGAGATTATATAGCCCCACCCCTGATCATGGTTCATTGACTTTGAAACTTTTACAAATTTTACAAGTTAATGTTTGTGTTTAGGTTTGTTTAAAGGGAACAACTTATAATAAGTCAATGGTATTTGGTATGCAGTTGTATTAGCATTGGCACATCTCATTCCATGGAGATTGTTTAGCCATGTACCTTCAGTCATGGTTCATCGACTTTGAATATTTGCATAACTTACATGTTAAAGTATTGCTATTTTAATTTCAACATTTGCATTATCAAAATTACAAAAAGGCGAGACATATCTCTGTGATAACAATTTATTTATTACTACAAATTCATTTTTTAAAGAATGAAAAAAATCTCACAAATCCAATATGTTCTCAATATTTTATTTTGCTGTAACTTTTAACTTTTATTCAAGATTATAATTTTGTGAGTTTACTAAAATCTAACAAATTCATGAGTTCTCAGCACAGAAATTTCATTTTTTTCCAATAAAATACAGATCCTGTGTCCATGCACACTTAGCTGTATATAAATATCTGACAACACTTTGTTCTACTTTCTGTTCTGGTAATTATTACATTAGCCAATCAAATTTCAGTCTTCAAATTTTTGAAGGTACATGTATGTAGTAGGAGGACAAAACAAAAGGATCCTAAAAGATATTTAAGATAGAGTGGAACAGAGCATTGGCAGATCCTTATAAGTGAAGCATGGACACAGGATTTGCATTCCAATTAGATTGGGCTTTTTTTCCGAATTCTATTCATTGCACATGATTATGGTCAGAATGATATCTGTTATAGATTTCCATATTTAATTGCTTCAATCATCAGTGTTCCAGCTTGAATCTCAGAGCAGAAGGGTGATAGTTGTCTGAAAGGGCACTTTAGCTCAATAAACCCAGATTGTAAGGCCACTGTCATGACTGTTGGACAGTGTAAATTACCTTTTGCTAGGCTCAATTGGAGGCCATTTTCATTCTGTATTAAATATCTAGTATTTGTTCAATTATCTTTAATCACCTAATTAGCAGTAAACAATCATTAACAGAGGTGATAAAACTGCCAAAGGCAAGGTATTTAACACTATGCCATTGTCAGTTAATTAAAGTGTTACACAATCAGGTATCAATTTTACCAGAAACGCCAATAGGCATGTAAGTTGAAAATTTTTTTTTTTGAAAAGGCAGAGGGGTGCATTTTTTTGCTTTGGAGGACAGAAGGTCGGGGGTAAAGGCACCAAG